AGTGGTGAGTAAGTTCCAGGAAAACGGCAGTAATTCCTACACTTGAAAGAGGACACACACACACTTGTTCAAGGTGATTGTAAACCACATTCTGCAGAAATTCAGAAGATTCAGGCACCGCTTCTAGATGGTGATGACACAGAAGGATGGCTTGGATGCATGCTTCTAACTGAGTCACCGGCATTCTTACACTGCAGGGGGAAACGGAGGCCCTCAGCCATGAGCACAGATGTTCCTGTCATGTATCCCAGGCCTTGCCTCGGGGACTCAGTTTCCTGTAGCAGTCCGGCCCCAGGCGAGGACCAGCAGCGTGGCCCACCCAAGCAGGAAGGGCACTGTTCTTGAGAAAGCCCACACCAGATGGGAGCAAGAGTGGCTGGTGGGGTTTTGTGAACTTATGAATGCTCATAGAAAAACACCTGCATACATTCAAGTGATACAATTAACAGTAGCATTCTTTTTAACAAAATTTCAATTGTCAGTGTTAATTTTACCATTCCTTTCCTCTTGTCCCCTGAACTCTGAGACAGGCTTAGGCTCTCTCAAACCTGCAGCTCTGATGCAATAGTTGTGAAGTTATTTTACTTTACTGCAAGTGTCTTCGCTCCACGTGTCGCTGTGACTGTCGTCTCTTAACACAGTCAGATATCTTCCTGGGTCTCTCCATGAGTTCCTTGCTCCTGCTTCTCAGATCCTGAGATAAAGAACAGGTGAAGGCACATGACTGGGAAAGTCAATGTGGACTTGAGCAAAGTCCTCAGTGACCCCCTAGGTGAGTGTTGACCACCCCTTAGCTTCGATTCTCAAAGTTCTGCCCAGGGTGACATCCAGACAGGAGGGAGTCCTGGGCCCAATTAAAAGCTGTGTGGCTTGGGTGCGGGGAAAGTTGCAGGAGCTGGTTCCGTAGCCGGGACCCTCCACACCTCTGCTTCTCTCTCTCCCGAGGCCCCACTGCCAAGCCCCCAGGTTCCCTGATCTTCTGTCCTTCTACTCTACTTCAAGCCCTTTTCCTCTTCCTTTATTCCCTGATTATCCCTAGCTGGAGTGATTTTCCCATCACAAAATCTGAAAAAATTTCCTGCAGCTGAAAAAGAGGTCTCCAGTGGTCAATACCCATATGGTGGTTCCTGAAGAGAGCCCCTGGTTAGGGGGACCCTCACCAACACTCACGGGGTATGAGGCATGTTGTGGGGTCGGCCACCCCCAACAAGAGTTTGCTGTGACCCCAAGGCACGCAGAGCATCCCTGCTCACTAAAGTGTAGTTGTGGTCCGTTATTAAGAAGCAAAAATTAAAAAATTGCTCATGTTTCTTACTAAAATTATTTATGAGGTAGAAAAAGAAATTGTAATAGAAAAGAACAAATTTGACTCCTTGTTAGATGTGTTCGTTTGGCTTTAAACCTGTACCTTGTTTTCTAGGCTCCGACTTGCTATCTCTGCACCTTTTGTAAAAAA